TAGAGATGGGGTGGCTGCTATCAGGGGGATTAGAATAGTGAAACTGCCTGGCTTGCTGCTCTCCTCGGCGATGCTGACTGGAGCATGGGCTTTCGTCATCAGTTACGCTTAGTGGAAACGTACCCCCGGGTAGTGCCTTGCCTTGCATCTAAAAACGGTCAAAGGCTGGGGCTTGTCCATGCAAGGAGGGTCAGGAAGATGAGTAGCAATTGATCAAAGGCGTAAATCATCAGAGAAATGATTAAACTGCGTAAGGTCTTGTATAGACACTAACACACAATTAAAATTGTTTTGGGTAATGGATTCATTTTGGAAGCGAAGTCAGCTGAACTAAAAAGAAAAGGACTTAAAATCTGATAAAAGTGTCTGCACAGGTGTTTCACTTAACTAGCTCGCTCTGACTTGACGTGGATTTGAACCGAGTTTTGGCTGAGCGAGGGCAAGCCCAGGAATTAAAGGGAGTATAATCATGTCCTATTTTAACAAGCGTATTTGGAAAGCACGTTTGACAAACAGCCCTGCTTGATAATGTTACCGCGGGCTTCGAGGGAGGATTGCGCCAGGTCTCTTGGGGATTTTTGTAGCTGCTGATGTACTTCACAGTAACGGAGAACTCTGCCTTAGATGGTCTCTTTGGCCTCGGGTGGAGGAAGCAGTTGACTGAGGTGCAGGTCCCGAGGGTGTTTCGAAGTGTCACTGGTAACAGCAAGCTGGAAAAGCAGGAGAAAAAACATGCTGGTTGACGGGACAAGAGGCTGTTTCACGTGTCCCTCAACACAAACGAGTCCCCCCGTCCCCCACCCCAGGGCGGCATCGTACACCTGGAGAGCCGGGCTCTAACCGCCTTCCACCCGCGAGAAGCGAGGCGCTGAAGCAGGAGGTGACTTTGGGATACTCGCCGATACCACGAGGGCCCCCCGGCATTTCCGTGCGCGGCAGGGAGCACCGCAGGCACCGCGTCTGCTCTTCCATCGTGCCGGACAGCGAGGGAGGGCTCCCCACCGGCGCCAGCCGTCGCAGGAGCGGGACCGACGTCGGGCTGGGAAGTTCAGCTGTGGCCGATTTGAGGCTGTCGTGCTAGAACGCGTCTCCCTCTCTTTCTGGGCTCCCTGAGATTTCTCTCCGTTGATGGAGATTGATTTTGCCTTTGGGAACCCGAGGGCATGAATTGTACTTGTAATTGGCCTGAACTGAACTAGGAGGAACTGCTGATGCCTTCATTCTCATCTGCAAGTGATGTATTTTATAAGCTGCCTCGTGGACTGCTTGTGACTGAACGCAAGAGCAGGGAAGAGAGAAGGGGGAGGGAAGAGGTGTCCCTTAGGGATGGCAATGCCTCTCTTTGAACGTTGCGTTGGAGCATTTTACCGTCTGCGATTAATACCTTAATTCCTCTCCCATTCAGGGGAAAGATATAATCCCAGCCCTCTCAATCTGCGGATTAGCGTTTCCTCTGCTACATGTGCCGGTCGATCGTCGCGTTGTTTTTTGAATGAGATAGCAAGGGAAATAATATTAAAAAGACTCGGCAGTAGCGGGAGGCGAAGAGGAAAAAAAATTTAAAAAGTCTTGGCCGGCAGCGGCAGCCGATGCTGTCGTTAATGGTGCTGGTTCCAGCAGCTCCGAAACTGGACGGGTTAGGTAGAAGCGAAGGTGATGGTCAAGGCTGGGTCAGACCGGCGGGGCTGGTGCTCAAAGGTCGCGCAGGGGGAGGGCTGCAGAGTTCACCCCCCAGGTTAATTGCTCTCCAGGTCTTAAGCCTGATACTCGGCTGTCGGCCCCGCGCTGAGCACACACTGTTCGCTCGGGAGATTAAGATGAAAATATGTTCTCCTCGCTAAAGAGAGCGCGTAAACAACCCAGAAACGGCCCATTAACCTACAAAATCGCAATAAAGAACATGTGGTAAAGCAAGCCATAGGAGACCTGTGACCCAGCAAATGCCTTAATTGGGTTTTGAACCTTATCGTCTGTGCTAAATGCAGCTAATGGGAAATTAGCAAAAACTAAAGAAAGAAGAAAAGAAGGAAGGGGTGACGTGTGATGCATGCCCAGGTTTGGTGGGAGCATCTCTGGAATTCCTCTCACGATGTAGTTCAGTGAGAAAAATGTCAGGGGTGGTTGTGGAATTATCGTGTTATGGGATCGAGTGTCAGGCTAATGCTTCCATGTAATAAACCCGCTTCAAAATGACTGAAAAGAGATAGTTTTCCCATTGACTGCAACCGATGCCGTCAGCAGCTCGAGAAGCTCTCCATCACTTCTCTTGCAGGCTGTTCCACGCACCAGCCACCAGCTGTGCTCCACGTTGCTTGTTGAAGCGATAGGATGTAAATTTATTTTACTGCTTTTCTAGCTGTGATTTTTAAATTCTGTTCAGAATATAAGAGTACCTTGAGATTCATTAGTGCACATGGAAGGGGAAGGTGATGGATCATGCATGTTACGGGTACCCTGCAGGCAGGTCTTGCTCTTCATCTGGAGGATGACTGCAGAGTTCAGACACCACCAGCCATGATCTGTAGTTGTCCACCTTAAATTCCCCAGGCCCCTTTCCACCGCTGCGAAACCACCGAACGGCTGGAGAGTGGCAACCGCTTGATGGTGGCATTCTTCGGCTAAACTCAAACCGATCAAGGGAAGATGAGACAGTCGATCATGGAAATCTGCGGGCTCATGCAATAAGCTGTTTTGTGTCATTTTGGCCAGGCATCGTCTTTGAATTCTCTATGTTTAAAGGCCTTACCTGAATCTTTGGCCTCTATTTGCATAGCTGGTGTGTCCTGTGTACACCTAAAGCGATCTCTGCCCCGAAGCACCTGCGAGAAAGGGAACCCTGCCTCCGGAGGCTCGGGTGCGTTGGTTTCAGCACAAGCTCCTGGCACCAGCGGTTGCCTGGGGCTCACCGTATAAAGATGGGCTGAAGTGTTGTGCCTGATGGTGTTTTTAGAATAGGGTAATCTTAATTATTTATACTAACGTTTGTTTTAAACGTGTTTTAAGATGCAGGTTTTTAGTCCAAATGGCTTTCATAATTGCAAGGAGGACTTTCGTGCATAAGGTTACGTGTTTGCAGATGTGTTTTGGAACCCGTCTGCAAAGTGCGTCTGCTCCATCCAAGTCAAATAATCAACTAGTCGTTATGCACCTCGCGGTTTCTGAGAAATAGATCTGAGAAAAAAGAGAAATTCTGGAGGAACTAATGGTTATATAAAAGTGCTAATTACCAAGAGGGTCAATTACTGTTAGGTCTATGTCGGAAGGTTGCTGCAGCACGTGTTCCGAGACAGTCGTGGTCAAGGTAACTGTGATAATGAAACGGTGCCCTTGAAACGATGAGCTCGGGAAAGGAGGGGTGATGCGCAGTTCATGATTTGCGTTGGGGATCGGTAGGGGCTGTGCTCCACAGCGCTGCAGAGAAGAATGGTAGGGACCACATCTTGGGCACACGTGGCTCCTCTAGAAAGAATTAAAGGCAAAAGACTGGTAGATCCTGGGGTGCCCAACAACCTATAGTCTCGACACCGTCCTGGCCCGCATGCTGCGGGGTTTCCGGATGCGTGGCTCCCTGTGTTGTTACCCCTTCTACCTGGGCTGCAGAGCCGGTGCGGGGCAATGTCCTTGGTCGCCCAAGGAATTGCAAGGGACTTTGTGACTGCAAATATACTTTCAATAGAAAAGGAATCTGTTTTATCTTATGAAAGCATCATCATGATGATGATCTGATGAAGAAATGCATTTGCCCCACCCTTTGCAGAGTAATTGAAGAAGAAAGCTTTAAAAGTTTCTTCTTTTTTTGAAAAAAAAAAAAAAAGGCAGGAAAGAGCATGGTTCTTACTGATTGCTTTTTTCACATTGCTAATTGAGACCTTGTTTACCTTGGAAAAAGTCGATGGTGATTGGACACCTGGTGTGATTAATTATTTTGCAACAGACAGACAGCTGATCTTTTCAAAAGAAAGGAGTTTTTAGCAGAAGGTTCAAAGTTCATAGTCTGCTGTTTAACTCTAATGCTAATAAACATTCAGCAGAAAGGATGTCTGTCTTAAAATTTCACATGATCACACCTTCATTTTAAGGTGATACGGTCAGAAAACAACTGTAGACCCCAAGAAGTCCTCCAGCAAGGCGTCTCTCGTGGCATGAGCTTCAGTTGCCTTTGGGGGATGCCCTGAGGTCTTGGGATGTGGACAGTGATGTTCTCAGATTTTACTTTTGAATCGCGCATGTTTCTTAACCAGGAAGGGGTTTCTGCTAATTTTTCTTGAGCTAACGATGCAAATGAACTTTGCTGCGCTATCGAAAGAGCACGTGTTGAACATAGCTTCCTTTACCTAAATGGGCGCTTTTCTCCCAATGGGAACAGCTGTTTTTTTCCGGTGCATTGGTGCCTGACTAAATGCGTTGGGTCGCATTCTTCATGTATAGATGAGACAACCTTTCTGTTAAATATTCCTGTGTTTTCCAGCAGTAGGGCTGGGGAGGTTACAGCCTGCCTTGCAGGCCAATGGGAGCCCGAGCCTTGTTGGCAGGGAGGGGAAAGCCAGCCATGGGATGCTGTCACAGCAAGCCCCAAAATAGTTTGGTTGGAACTGGTTTTACGTCATATAAAAAAGGGGGCGAAGGATCTCAGCTGATCAGAGCACGAAAGGTCCTTGGGCACGCACCATAGAGCATATTGGTTTTGAGCTTGATAGTGCTTTTTTTACAAGGGCTGCAAATTGCTGTAACATAGTTAAGGACTGTAGGAAGAGGCAAGTTTTCCTGAACTTTACTCCCAGCTTGAACTTTTAAGAAGTTAACTGAGAGGCAAGGAAGGGGAGAGAGGCAGATTAGACGTACCCTCGCTCACGCCCCTCCGTCCGCAGTGACTAGGATGTCCAATGGAAGAGACAGCCTGGAGAAACAGCTGAACGGCTTTGGGGAGAAGGGGAAGGAGAGAAGCCGCACGTCCCTGGTCATCTCTCAGGCCGTTAACCGCAGTATTTTCACTTCTGCAGTCTCCCCCGCTGCCGAACGCATCCGCTTCATCCTCGGAGAGGAAGATGACAGCCCGGCGCCTCCGCAGCTCTTCACGGAGCTGGATGAACTTCTGGCCGTCGACGGACAAGAGATGGAATGGAAGGAGACTGCAAGGTGGGTTGGTTTTCCGTTACCCCGAAAGGGAAGGGCAGCTGCACAGGGCCGCTGCGGGAAATACCTTTTTAACATTCAATGAGGGTAATATCTGTGCTACAGGATTGCTTGGGGAATCCACAGAAAGGAGCCTGTATAGTTCAAATTACCTTTCTTTTGATAAATGAGAGAATTCAAGGATTTGTTTCAATATTCCCTTCAAATAAAATCTAGAGGGAAATAGAGTGCCAGGTTTATATTTGAATTGTTTGCCTATGGAGAGCCAGCAGACAGATGGGCTTATTAGTGCTTTGCAAAGAATGACAGTGTCTTGGCCGGAGTCGTCCGAAATCGATGCCCGAATAAAGTTTCTGCAGGCGTGTCAAAACTACTTCGGTTCTGTTGCCCAAAAGTAGATTTGAGCCTGACCCCACGCCCACCACAACTTGGGAGATTTTGACTGTGTCCCTCTCCTAGGGAGTTACTGATGAAATTCATCTTAAATAGGCAAAATACCTAAAGGTTTTTTTCTTCTGAGGAAATTATTCAAGGTGTGTGTTAAATGCTGGATTGGGTTGCCTGCTTTGAGTTTCTTGGTGGGGTTCTCTGCCTGTTTCTTTGATGATGATGTTGGTTTGGTCAAAAAAACATGCCAAAACCATGGTCAAAAAAACATGAGAAAAAAAATTGGTGTGTATTTTTGATCTGGTAGATACAAATTACATACAGTTTATTTACTGTTATTTATTAGTTTATTATACAGTTTCTGAACAGCACCAAAAGAGCCATTGGATTGGATTCGTGATCTACAGGCTGCTGTTTAGCCTCTAGTCTTATAAAGTTTTGATTTTTTTATGCAGCAAAAATATTTTTCTTGGGTTTGCCTTAAGAGGTAAACCCCTAATTGCAGTCTGGTTGCTGCGAAGGCCCGAAACGTCCCACTAGAAAGAGGTGCTCACCCAGCCAGAGCAGTCCGGGGCTCTACCTTCCCTGTTCCCAATCCCCCTCGCTTAACTTGGGGCTTTTCTTTTTCCTTTATTGTGGCTGGGCTAAGCTCTTTCCCCACCTTCCAGTCTTAAGGGCACCTACTGTGTTCATCGTTAGCCCATGTTGTTTGGTTACCTTAATCTTCTTTACC